AGAGCTCCAGAGTACCGTCCAGTATGGCAGCCACCAGCCATTTGTGGCTCTTGAGCCCTTGAAATGTGGTGAGTTCTCATTGCCCAATGTTGTAAGTGTGAAATGCTTACTGGGCTCTGAAGATGAAGTATGAAAAAGAAAAGCATATAAAATATCTCATTAAATTTTTTGGTGTTAATCATATGCTAAATGATAATATTTTGGATATCACAGTTCAACAAAAATATAATTAAAATAGGGCGCCTGGGTGGCTCAGTTGGTTAAGCGACTGCCTTCGGCTCAGGTCATGATCCTGGAGTCCCGGGATCGAGTCCCGCATCGGGCTCCCTGCTCGGCAGGGAGTCTGCTTCTCCCTCTGACCCTCCTCCCTCTCGTGCTCTCTGTCTCTCATTCTCTCTCTCAAATAAATAAATAAAATCTTTAAAAATATATATAATTAAAATAAACTGCACCTATTATTAATTTTTTTAAAAAATGTGGCTACTATAAAACTTACAATGATATTTATGGCTCATTTTATATTTCCTGCAGAGGACAGTGCTCCTCTAAATCCTCCTTTGCTGTGGGGGCCCCCACGTCCCACTTCTCACACCCCTCCCGAGTTTCTAGGTCGAGGTGTACCTTTGAGAGAGTCCTTCTTGGCCCTAGCTGTCTCCACGAGCCCTCTTTAAGGTTGTGCTCCCCAAATCTCTGTATTATTTGAGGACAGGCCCGACCGTTTTGGCCCCAACCTGTCTGTAGAAAGACACTGCCACTCCCCAAAGGAGGGTTTTCTGTAAGTGGTTACAATCAGGGTAGTTTGGATGGGATAGCCGCATGGTAAATGATGCCCCAAGATGAGCTCATGCATATCCATGAGCCCCATAAAATCCAATCATGTGTATATTAATAGGATCTTGCAGGGGCTGGGGTCATGAGCAGGAATATTAATGAACAGAGGAGAAAGTGCTCCTACAAGGAAATGGACAGGTTTTAGGTGAATAATGTGAGACCAAGAGCCCTAGAACTTTCTAGTGAGAAGGGGCGCGTGGGTGAATCGAAACCACCAGCTCTCTGAGACACTTCATCTCATTTTTCCTCATTTTTAAATTTTGTTCTACCATTCTGAAAATTTTGTAAGAAGTCCACAGCCCTGTCTTGGTATCTTTCAGGACTGACACCATAGAGATTTACCAAATATTACCGTTGATCACGCATAGGACCCCGTGGTTTTAAGGTTGAGGAAATGGAGGCACAGATGTGCTCAGGGACTTGCCAAAACCATACAGCAAACGGGTGGGGAAAGTGGAACTTGGAGCAACTGGGTCTGGGGTCTCATTTTCTAGTCACTTTGGTGCCAGGTTCTCATCTCACAGGTTTGGGGGTTTTCCGGATAAGAGGTTTAAGGTCTCCGTTTTCTGACATGGTGGCCTCCTTCCCATCTTCCAGTTCCTGTCTCTGTCTCTGCCTTTCCTTCTTTCTCTATGTCATGGAGATCCACTCTCTCCCAGACTCTCCTGTACCATCTTTCTTCCCCCTCTCTCTTTTGCTCTCCGGGTCGTCTCCTTTTCCCTCCTCTTTATCTCTCTCTGTCTCTGGATTTTGTTCAGTCTCTGTGTGTCATTCTGACTTGAATGTCTCACTGTATATATATATATACACTCATGTGCATGGATATAAACGTGTGTGTGTGTGTGTGTCCATAAATAGGTGCATTTGGCTCTGCCCCTCCCTCTTTCTTTTTCTCTCTTAGTCCATCAGCCTGCCTCTCTTTCTCTCTCAACCATGTCTTATTTTATTTGTTTTTTTAAGATTTTATTCTTCAGGGGCGCCTGGGTGGCTCAGTTGGTTAAGCGACTGCCTTCGGCTCAGGTCATGATCCTGGAGTCCCGGGATCGAGTCCTGCATCGGGCTCCCTGCTCGGCAGGGAGTCTGCTTCTCCCTCTGACCCTCCCAACCCTCCCCCCTCTCATGTGCTCTCTCTCTCTCAGTCTCTCTCTCTCAAATAAATAAATAAAATCTTTAAAAAAAAAAAGATTTTATTCTTCAGTCATCTCTATACCCAACATGGGGCTCAAAACCACAACCCCGAGATCAAGAGTCATGTGCTCAACCGACAGAGCCAGTCAGGTGCCCCCAACCTCCCCTTATTTTAAAATAGGGATGTATATTGGAATCACTGGAGAGATTTTAAGAATAAAGACTCCCAGGCTCCAGCGCAGACCTATTGACATTTGTAATTTTTTAACAGCTTTATTGAGATATAACTGGACATGTTTACTGTCTGATGACAAGTTTAGAGACATGCATATACCTGTGAAACCATCACCACAATCAAGGTAACAACATGTCCATCACCTCCAAAAGCTCCCTCCTGTCCCTTTGTGTTTGTGTTTGCTTTGTGTGCAAGAACACTTCAACGTGAGAGCTCCCCTCTTAACAAACTATTAAGTGCACAGTACAGTGTTTCCAGCTTATAGACGCTAGGTTAGCTAGAGACAGCACATCTCCAGAACGTACTCATTTTGCTGAATTTTATACACACTGAACGACAACTTTACAGACCTCATCTCTGCATTGGAACCACTGATGATCGAAAGGGAGCCCCGAGCCCTCTTGGGGCGTCTTCCAGCACCACTCTCTCTCACACACACACAGCGAGTTGCCGTCCTCTTTGCTAGGACCCCAGCAGGGCTCTCTACTTCAAAAAGCCTTTCCTGGTACTATCCATTCCTGCTTAGGGTGGCACCTTCCTGAGGACAAGGCTGGCTCTCTTTTTTTTTTTTTAAAGATTTTATTTATTTATTTGAGAGAGAGAGAATGAGAGACAGAGAACATGAGAGGGGGGAGGGTCAGAGGGAGAAGCAGACTCCCCGCTGAGCAGGGAGCCCGATGCGGGACTCGATCCCGGGACTCCAGGATCACGACCTGAGCCGAAGGCAGTCGCTTAACCAACTGAGCCACCCAGGTGCCCAAGGCTGGCTCTCTTTTCCTCAAGCTTCCCATATACCGAGAGATTAACAGGGCTTAACACCAGGAATCATGGGCTTGACACCCTGGTGTCAACGGTGGCTGAAAAGTTTCCTGCCTCCTTCTGTGGTGAAGAATTTTCCTAAATCTCTCCCCTGAGGAGGTACAAAGGAAAAAACAGTGAGCTGGCACTTAGCCAGCCCTTCACCCACTGGGACTCATTTAATTCCCCCAGCAAGCCCTGTCAGGCAGACACTATTATCCCTATCTTAGAGAAGAGGAAGTTAAGGACCAGGCTCACACAGCTGGTAATGGACAGAGCTATGAGACTAGACACCCAACCTCAGTTCTGGTACACTCTCCCATCTGCCTGACCAAGCATGAGAGGATGGATGCTCTGAGGTTAAGGTGGGGGCAAGGGGGATAGGTGTTTGCAGTGTCTAGGACTGACTTGACATTAATACCTAGCATACTCGAGGGACTCATGCAAATCATAAGAAAAAGGCAAAGAACCCAGTAAAAATATAGGCAAAGGGAATGAACAGGAGATGAATGCTGAATGGCTTATTTAGCAAGAGAGGAAGAAATGCTCAATCGCATTAGTGTTCAGATAAATGCAAATTTAAGTAAAAGCGAGGAGGCATCTGGTATGAGTTAGATACCTAAAATTTGATTTTGGTCTTGTTATTTGGCTAAAATCTGTATTCAACTTGGACCTTGGCCTTTGGCCAGCCAGTCCAATTGCCTCAGCCAGTATCTTACCTGGAATCCCCGAATGCTCGTTTGATCAATTAGGTTTTTTTTCTTTTCATTTTTCCAAAAGAAGACATACAGATGGCCAACTTGATCAATGATTTTTGTGATCCCATCAGCTGTTTTCATTGTTAATAAATGCACTGAATGCACTTTAATATACAAAACATGCTAACAAGCCACGGTTTCAGATTCATTTCTCATGTTAATATTTGCCTTTAAATACGAGTATGCATTCTAGACATAAGGAGCAAACAAATCTTATGTATTTTATATGTAGAGATTACGTCAATGAAATTTTATGTCTAATTTGTTGTGAAAGCAAAATGTGATCATAATCAATGTTATTGTTACAAAATAGCTTTGGAAGAGCCATTAATTTTATATAAAAATTAGTTGTTAAAAACTTTTAAACAGGCATATAGAAGAAGGGAATTTATTTATGTGAAGATTAAGAAAGTTAATTAGATAGTTAAGTTTCAGAAGAACGTTATGTCTCTTTAGGGTAAAACATTGGGATGACTTAAATGATTATAAACAAGGCAGAATAGTAGAGATTAAGTGTTGATGCGTATCTACATCTACATAATTGCTTGGTATTCCACATTCATACTATTAAGCAAAATCTTTAGGAATCGTATTTCTTCCCTATAGGCCACCCATCTTCCAAAAACTCCTGTTTCAGAACCCTTCCAATAGTATGAGCATAAATTAAAAGCATAATGACAGTTTTAGTACTCTTACTGTTAACCATGTGAAACCATCTTTCTTTCTAGATATAATAAAAAATATTAATTTTTTAATGAGATACCCTAATACATTTTGTTTTCACTAATCAAACCTCAAAGCATCAGATTTTACAAGATATTTTGAGAAAAACATTCTTTCGAGCCTATGGAGGCTAAGAATTTAGACAAGTTTTTAAATTATTGCTGTAGATGGCCAACAAATTTTGGTAGTTGAAGATTTGGTGGGCAGAGAGGGGAGAGGAAGGAAGATGAAGGAGAAGAAGAAAGAGCGAGAGGGAAGGAGGAGGAGAAGGGGAGGATATGGAGGAGAGGAGCGGAGGGAGGAGGGGTAGGAAAAGCAGGAGGAGGGAGAAGGGGAGCTGAGAAGGAGAAGGGGCATTACAAGAAGGAAAGGGAGGAGAGAAGGAGGAGCCTGGGGAGAAAGAGGGGAAGGAGGAGGGAAGAAGGAAGTAAAGGAGGAGGGAGGAGGGGACAGGGAGGAGGCATCGGTGTTGGCTATAAAATCCCTGAGGGTCAGCTGGTCAACCAGCAGTTCCTGAGAGGAGGAACATGGCCTTGCATGTGGGGTTCCTGTTGCTCTGGGTCTGCCGATTTCACCGTGTGGTCGGTCCTGACTATGAGGGTGAGTCGCAGTGTGACCATGTCGGGGGTGGACATTTAAAAACCGAGTCTTGCACATCTTCTGCCATATATAATATGACTTGAGATGCCATGGAGGGTAAGAGCCATCCTAATTTCATGTACCTTAAGAGAGAAAAAGATTCTCTATTTTTCAAGTATTTCCATTTAATAGACATGAGCCACTGGTGAGCTTTAAAAACACACACGCAAAAAAGAAGTTTTGACTAATAAAAATGAAAGAATAAGAATGCAAGTTGGAAAATCCTGTTGACAGAGTCGTGTTACTTGATAACTGTGTATCTCCCTTCTCCCCCCTACCATATTTTATTTTATTTTTTTTAAAGATTTTATTTATTTATTTGACAGAGAGAGACAGAGTGAGAGAGGGAACACAAGCAGGGGGAGTAGGAGATGGAGAAGCAGGCTTCCCGCTGAGCAGGGAGCCTGATGCGGGAGCCTCTACCATATTTTAAATGCTTTATTCAAGTCTCTGAAGATGGAACTGAGTTTTGGCAAGTCTGGTTTATTCCTTTACCAAAATCATGTGGCCTTCCAAAATTGTAAATGACAATACAAGAAGGGAATTTCATCACAGAGGCATTTCTTACACATTTGATGGTGATCACACATAGCTGTGAAAACAGTTATTTTGTGAAATTTTTGCAAAACGATGGTCTTTCATGTCCTACGTGTAAGTATTCTGCAGGACATGTCTGCATTGAAAAGTAAATCAAGCACAGTGTGGACAAATGTCTTTAAAAAAAAAATGTCCTCAGTGTGACTATGACCACTGCTTTCTTATCTGTTAGAATATTCGTTTCATGCTTATGGAAAAATAACACTTTTGTCTCGGACATCAATTCCTTCATGAGATATCACTTTTGTACATACGTAAAAAAGAAAATATAAGGGCAAGAAGCTGGTTAAGACGGTCCTAAAATTTCTCCACTTTTAGTGTCTGGCCTCCTGAATTACTGAGGTCACATTTTCCCACATGACACTATCCCGATGCCCCCCAGAGTCTTGGTGAATGAAGACCCACGGGTCCCAGGCGTGGTCTTTCCACTTACGTGGTGCTCAGCCCACTTCTGAGTCTTTGGAAATGTTGCTTATTCACGCTGTCCATCTCCCCACACAAGTGTCTGCTTCCCGGAGGTGAAGAGAGCCCCGTTGTTGTCCCTGGGGCTTTCTTTTGAGCCACTGACAGCATCCCGCATGGCTACTGTCATGGTGCAGGCATGAATGACCACATTCCCAGGCAACCCAGCCTGCAGGCAGTAAGATGCCAGCGAGAACAAGGTGCATTCTGATCCCGGAGACAGAACATGAAAAGCATTGCATTTTAGCATTTTAGAAGCGAAGAGATGGGAGGTTTGGATCCCGCCAGGTGCATGTGATGGAGCGATTAAGTGGCAAGAGTGCCTCTACTCATGAGTCCACCTGCTGGTAGGAAGACGGAGAGGAGACAAATGAGCCATGCGAGCTCAACCACCTACATGCCTCGCATGGGACTGGAGGTGATTGACCTGGCAAGACATCACAGAGGGCCTGGTTGAGTGATCTTGCTCCAGCACTAGGCATTGGCCGTGCGCGAAGTGTAATTTCTCCATGGTTACGAGTTGTTGGGACACACTCAGGGATGACATGACAGTGGGGTCCCTTGCAGGGAGGACCGTCCAGGCAGGCAGCCCCTGACATGCAGCGTGAACCCAAAATTCTGGAGTTGTCACCTGCTGCCTGTTAATCATTTGAGGCTCCTGGGGGATAAACTGCCCACCGGCTGATAGCTAAATTTCAGCAAAGGTTGGTGCTAAAATATGAATCTTGCATTGCAAGAGACTTCATTATTTTATGGCGCAGAGAGCGAGGGGAATGATAGTCAGGCGCTCCCGGAGGTCCCCACTGGCCGAGAGCTGAGCACCCTCCTGGCCACCTCTGTTCCACCTCCTTCCAGCAGGGGCTCTGAAGTCCAGCCCCCTCTTGACCTCTCTGACTCCAACCCGAACTTCATCCGTATTGTTGCCTGCGGCAAGAGTTCCTTCTCTTTTGATACAATTTAATTTTATTTACTTAATGAATGTATTTCTCTGTAATATATTTCCACGGCACACATATACCACATTCTCCTTATCCATCCATCTGGGGATGGACATTCAGGTTGTTCCCACATCTGGGCTATTGGGATTCATACTACAGTGAGCATGGGAGTACAGCTATCTCTTCAAGATTCTGATTTCAAGGGGCACCTGGGTGGCTCAGATGGTTAAGCGTCTGCCTTCGGCTCAGGTCATGATCCCAGGGTCCTGGGATCGAGTCCCACATCGGGCTCCCGGCTCAGCGGGGAGCCTGCTTCTCCCTCTGACCCTCTCCCCTCTCATGCTGTTTCTCTCTCGCTCGCTCTCTAAAAAATAAATAAATAAAATCTTAAAAAAAAAAAAAAGGATTCTGATTTCAAGACTTTTGGATAAATACCCAGAAGTGGGATTGCCGGATCACATGGTAGTTCTATTTTTAATTTTTTGAGCAACCTCCGTGCTGTTTTCCAAAGCAGCTGCACTGTTTTATATCCCCAGCACGAGCACTCTGTAATTTTTTGCTATTATGATTAGGTCAGGGTTTTTTTAAAAAACCTTTAACCCATTGTGTTATGGAAACATTCCCACATACTCAGAAGAATTTTCTATGCCCCCGCCATGGATGGCAGACAGAATTTCTAGTGTTAAGCAGAATAGTATGCTAAGTACTTGATATGCACAATACATAGGCTCCTCCTAACAATCCCATGAGGTAGGTACAGTTATTGCCTTCATTTTGTAGAAGAGAATCTGAAGCACAGAGGGGTTGGGTCATGGACCCAAAGTCACACAGCTAGCTAGGGACAACTGAGCTAAAGATTCTGAGAAAGCTTATTTCTTTAGCTACATCTCTGCACTGTCCATTTATATTCTGAATGTGTCCTCCCACTGGAATCCTTCATACTTACAAGTGTGAACAAGTAAGTCATTTCTAAATGCCTTCTTTATGTCGTATTTCCCGCTCCGGGAAAAATAAAAGTTTCATGTTTGGTACCGGTTGCCAGTTCAACATTTACAGGCAAAAACACACCAATTGAGAGCCTGTCTCTCTTCCAGTCTCAGAGAAGAGCAGTTGAAGATCTGCGAACAATGGACAGTCCATTTATTATGAAATGCCTTAGCACTTTCTGGGAGATTTCTTGTCATTTCAATACTTGCAAGATTGCAAGAGTCTCCTAAACTTGAATTCCAGAGCCATTTTTAGTAGATGTAAGTTCTCTATTTGTGAAAATCAATTGCAAACTTGAATGAGTCTTCCATCTCATTGGACAGAAAGTAATAATGATTATTGTAAGGAGACAAATCCTTTATCATTGAAATAAAATAGTTACCACGTGGTACATGGCGCCCCGGAAAATACAGTTAAAGCAAAAGGAAAAATTACAAATCACCCACAATTACACTACTGAAAATAAGCACCACTGAAATTGTGAAGCATCTCCTTCAAAATATTATCCTTGCTGGATTATAATTTAGTAAAATATTTGTATTTTATTCTAGTCTAAAGGCTAAATCTAGTGAAATAAATATTTGCTAAAAATTGTGTCTTTCGGGGCACCTGGCTGGCTCAGTCGGCAGATCATGCAACTCTTGATCTCCGGGTTGTAAGTTCAAGTCCCATGTTGGGTGTACAGATTACTTAAACAAATAAAATTAAATTAAATTAAATTAAATTAAATTGTGTTTTTCAGATGATGATCCACCAGCTGTAGGTGAGTTGATAAAAACTCTTTTATTAGAGTTGCTTTTTCAATTTGGCAATAAAATGTAAAGTTGTTAAATATTGTGCTTCTTTTCCTAGTAAGAAATCATATTTTTCATGAGAAACTACTATTTTATGTCCTCGTATATAAGATAAAGTACAATCTATGTTAAAGATAATTAAGGAAAAAGAAGAAGAAAGTAATTATAATATTACTGTCAATTTTACTGTTAATATTTTTGAGTGATCAAATAGATAATCCCATACAACTTCATAATATGATTTTCTTTTTTTGCAAAAACGGAGTCTTACAGAACATAATGAAATAGAAAATGAAGATGAAGTGCAAATGTTTTCATATCTATTTATATGTTCCTCTTTGTTAATGTCTGCAGTATTATAAAGCTATATATTTAAGGGGTGCCTGGGGGGATCAGTGGGTTGAGCGCCTGACTCTTGATTTCAGCTCAGGTCGTGATCTCAGTGTTGTGGGACTGAGCACCACCTCGGGCTCTGCACTCAGCATGGAGTCTGCTTGTCCCTCTCCCTCTGCTCCTCCCGCCACTCCCGCTTTCTCTCTCGTCTCTCTCTCAAAAAAATTTTTAAGCTATATATTTTATTTTTAAATTCCCTTACTGATTGGTATTTTGGGATTGATTTCTTTTTTTTTTTTTTAAGATTTTATTTATTTGACAGAGAGAGATACAGCGAGAGAGGGAACACAAGCAGGGGGAGTGGGAGAGGGAGAAGCAGGCTTCCCGCCAAGCAGGGAGCCCGATGCGGGGCTTGATCCCAGGACACTGGGATCATGACCCGAGCCGAAGGCAGACGCTTAACGACTGAACCACCCAGGTGCCCCTGGGATTGATTTCTATTTGGAGAAGTATTATCAGCCATGCTGAAATGAACATTCTTAACCTGAATGTCATTCCATCTGTCCAAAGCATAGATGTGTCTATTGTGACCAATACTAGTTGACATTGGGGAGGTGGGGTGGAGGGGTCCTAATGCATGTGATATTTGCAAAAAGGAAATAATCCATTAACCAGAGAAAATAAGAAGTACAATTATTGTATGATTCATACTTTAAAACCCCTAGGAAATCTAGTAAAAGTTACTAGCTTCAATAAAAGAATCTGGCTTTGTGGCTGGATATAAGATAAATATACAACAGTCAGACACTGATAGAAAAGAAAATCATTCTATTTTACATCAATGACAAAAAACACTTTGGGGTTAAATCAGCAAGAAATGTCCAGGACTTAAATAAGTAAATGATAAAATCATATTGAAGAACATTAAGCAAATTCTAAATAATAGATCACGCCATGTTCTTGTTTGGAAGACATAAGAATAGTGAAATAAACATCAGCTTCAAATTTTCTTTTTCAGAAACTATAATTCACTTTCCAGAAGTCAAAGGTAAGTTCATCAGAAAACTTTTGTGAGTAAAGTATATTTTCTTTTAATTTTGTAAAAATGGGGAGATCAGTAGGGTTTTTCCTGATAAAATTTTTTTCTCTTTTCATAAATTTGATAAAAGCAATTTGTAAACAGGTAAAGAAAAACACGAAATAAAGACACCCTGAACTTTACTAGCACTATTCTTTAATTTCTGCCAATATAACAGAAAATACCTGGTTTTAAAATTCACATAGGAAAAATGTACAATAGTAATTAGGAATCTTATGGAAAAAACATGCTAGAGAAACACCCTGTATTATCAGATATTTAAACAAACCACAATTATAATAATATAAATAGCATGGTGTCAGCCAAGAATGCATCAAATAATAATAAATAATCTTTTCTGATGCTTGCTGACTTCAGACTCTGCTCATTCTACCCTGCACCATCTATTTTAAAGCAAGACAGGAATCATCTGTTTTAAAGGCAAACATTTAAAAATTGTGTAAATAAATCCAGGTAAAACAGCACATTGATAGGAAAGATGAATTGCTATTGTCCTTTGAGGAAGCAATACCCAACAATGTTAACAATTCATATGTGCTTTAACCTAATAATCTTAGTTTTGGAATTCCATTCTGTAGAAATAAATGCTTCGGTACATAAGGATTTACATATATGGAAAGTTTGCTTCTGCTTTATATAGAGGGAAAACAATCTGAATAAGGGAAATACTGAGTAAATTTGGCAAAATCCATATCACAGAATATGAATTGGCATTAGAAAGGAGTTAGAGCTACAAAGGTTAAAAGAATACATTGGATAACTTTTTTGGCTTAAGTGGGTGGATAGAGATGTCCTTCATTGAGGAAGAGACTGATGGGTTCAATTCTAGAGAAAGTTCTGAACTCTGTCTTAAATGGAGGCCAGGAGGGGGAAAAAAAGATACGTTGGAAAGGATTTTTGTGATAGGTTAAGTTAGAAACAAGTTATGGATATAAACTATGATTCATTTTAGGAGGGAGCAAAAACTCTGTGCATGCGTGCCCATATATAATATGTATGGCTCTCTGTATGTTGTATGGATGTATGGGTATGTATACATAATGTCCATATATACGCATGGAGAAAACGGATAGATACAAACCAGGCTATATACATTGTGTGTGTGTGTGTGTGTGTGTGTAAGAAGGTGAAGAAAAGAGATGCAGGGGAGATTGTTTAATAGATAAGTCTCACATTTATGTTTCTGAGCTTAGGATAGGTTTCTGGAACTGGGGGCCAAATGCTAAGCAAAATATCAAGAGTGTTTATATCATGGAGAAAAGTGGGAACCAGAGTAAGGGTTGAAAACAAGAAACCTTTATTAGTAGGGGTTGAACAGCTCTGCTGTTAGGTGACCCAATAATGTTCAGCAGAACCCCAGGCAGAGGCTCTCATTTCAGTACAACCAGGGGAGGTCAAAAGTAAGTTCGTAACATCTCAACTAAGACTCCCAGAGAAAGACCAAGAATTTTTGTTTTCTCTAGATGGCAAATGTTTCTTTCCATTCCACTACAAAAATGAAATATTCTATGACTGCATCACGTTCAGGACGAAACACAAGTGGTGTTCCCTAAATGAGACTTACCAAGGATATTGGAAATACTGCTCTGAAGATGGTAAGTGTCTTGCCTCTGAACACCCCAGGGTGGTTGGTGATCTCTGTTCAAGGAGATCCGCGAGGGGGCGCTGTAAAGGGACTCCGCAGTCAATTAAATTGTGAAAACGAGCTTTGTGCAGGTCTCTGACAGTATGAAAATCACATTGCACCAAAGACATATTATGAGAGCTTCAACCACGTTACCTTGAAAAGAAAGCTTTTAGCAAAACCTCAAACCCCCACCGATGTTGCAGAGTGGATGGTGCTGAATGGGATGGGGTGTGTGAGCCCACGCACGCGTGCATGAGAGGGATGGCACAGAGGCGGTACAAAATAGAAAGATGTCCTCTCCTGATTGCTTCTCTTCTCTGTAGACTTTGCAAAATGCGTGTTTCCCTTCTGGTACAGACACATGATCTACCGGGAATGTACTGAAGATGGGGACGCTTTTGGGAAAAAATGGTGTTCGCTGACCCAGCATTATAACAAGGACAAGATTTGGAAATACTGTGACTGATGGTGAGATTTTCTGGGAGGGGCACGAAAAGGTCTAATCGTTTTCATTGGAAATAATCTCCAGTTTCTTTGGTGAAAGGAGGAGATAAGACCCTCCTTATAAGGTTTTTTTTTTTCCCCCTGAGATATGAGTTGAAAGTGATCCAACTGTAAATAACTTGGGGTTTTGGCCATGGATTGTGGATGACGAAGTTTTGATATGGAAACCTTCTTCTAGTGACTTATACTTACTAATACTTATACTTACTAATTGGGTAAAATTAGGCCTTTAAAAAAAAAAGTCTATGGACTTTGGGTGATAATGAGGTGTCGGTGTAGGTCTTTCCATTGTAATTGAATGTCCCACTCCGGTGAGGGAGGTGTTAATTTGGGGGAGGGTGTACCTGTGTGGGTGTGGGGGGATACGGGAATTCTGGGTCTTCTCAATTTTACTATAACCTAAAACTGCTCTTAAAAAATAAAGTCTATTAAAAATGCATTACCTTGGGACACCTGGGTGGTTCGGTCAGTTAAGCGTTTGCCTTCAGCTCAAGTCATGATCTCAGGGTCCTAGAATCGAAGCCCACGTCCCGCTCCCTGCTCAGCGGGGAGTCTGCTTCTCCCTCTCCCTCTGTCCCTTCCCCTGCTTCCTCTCTCCCTCTCAGATAAATAAATAAAATATATTTTAATAAATAAATACGTAAAAGAAACTACAAATCAAGTGGATTAATTCACAGTTTCCATGGTCATGACTTTTATTATATAAAAAGGTATTAAGGTCAAAACGCAAAGCAGGATTTATCACGTGACCCAGAAATTCCACTCCTGGGGATGGATATACCCAAATTAATTGAAAGCAGGGACTTGGATAAATATTTCTATGCTGATGTTCTTTTCAGCATTAGTCACAGTGGCCAAAAGGGGGAAGCAAGCAAGTGTCCATCAACAGATGAGTGGATGAACAGAATGTGGTGTATCCCAACATTGGAATATTATCCAGCCAAAGAAAGTAATGAAGTTGATACATTCCACAACATGGATGAATCTTGAAAACATTATACTGAGTGAAATAAGCCAGATACAAAGGAATAAATACTGCGTGGTCCCATTTATATGAAATATCTAGAATAGGTAAGTTCATAGAGACAGAAAGTAAGTCAGAGGTTACCAGGGGCTAGAAGGAGTGGGGAAGTAGAGAGTCTCTGTGTAATGGATATAGTTTCAGTTTGGGGTGATAAAAATCTTTGGAAATAGACAGTAATCTACTTTAGAGTGCACAACATTAAATATAAGTAATGCCACTGAATTGTACACTTAAAAATGTTAAAATAGCAAATTTTATTGTATATATAGATCTCCATGATTTTTAAATATTAATAATATTTTTAAAAGGTACTATAAATAAAAAGATTTATAAAATTGAATTCTATCCTGGGACGCCCCAACTCGTGCTCTCTCTCATTCGCGCTCTCTCTCAAATAAATAAAATCTTTTAAAAAAATAAAAATTAAAAATTAATTTAAAAAAATAATAAAAACGCTGCAGAACTGGAGGGGAAATCAGAGAGTATTGCATGTGTATCCAATATGTATCCAATATTATTTCTAATATTTTAAGCTGATCCCAAGGAAAAAAAATGTCTTGTAACTTTTTATGGTAACAGACGGTGACCAGACTGTGGTGATCATTTCGCAGTGAACACAATATCAAATCGTTTCATTGTGCACCTGAAACTAATACAGTGTTGTGTGTTAATATAATTCAATAAAAAAACATATACATGTATATCTGCCAAATCATATTTTCAAATGTATTCTTGCTGTAGGTCATGGTGCCCCCTACAAAAACTTTGGAAGCACTGTCTTTGTGGACCCAGAAGACTCATTGTAATCTTTCATGAGAAACAGGAAACCTAAAAAGAATGTTTTTGACTTATTTTTCTAGTCTTTGAATGCTCATAGAAAGGACTGTCTTTGAAGTGGGCTTACTTGTCTCAGGAGAGCAGCAGAACGCGCTGTGACTGAGCCCAGGTGTTGGCAATTAATCCTTAGGTGCACAGTGATCGTAGGGAGTGGTTGACCAGAGAGACATCTAGTGGTGATAAATAGATCATAGGGTGTTTTTTTTTTAGGAAGAAAATCAGCTGGGGCGCCTGGGTGGCTCAGTCAGTTGAGCGACTGCCTTCGGCTCAGGTCATGATCCTGGAGTCCCGGGATCGAGTCCCACGTCGGGCTCCCTGCTCAGCGAGGAGCCTGCTTCTCCCTCTGACCCTCCCCCCTCTCATGCTCTCTCTATCTCATTCTCTCTCTCAAATAAATAAATAAAATCTTAAAAAAATAATAATAAAAAAAATCAAAAAAAAAAAAAAAATCAGCTGAAAGCTTGCTATTGGTTACATGGAAGAGCCAAAGAGCCAATCTCCTACCAAATGTCCAGGTATGAATCAGTTCACAGCTTCGATGTCCCTTGAATGATTGGGAGGCTGGACAACTGTGAAGCCGTATACCACAGGTATACACTCTCAGCCTTCTTAGTAGACTTCCCCAACGGGGCACAGTGTTTAGTGTCCAGGAGAAAGGGAAATACATAAACTTTCCAGGGTCTCCTGAATACTGGTTCTGAGTGAAGATTAATTTTCAAGGACTCAGACCACCACTGGGATCCAGTAATTTGAGTGGAAGATTCCAGAAACATGAGACAGAGTCCTCACTTGAGTTCGCTTTGCTCTTGGCTCAGTGAGATACCAAACACGCCTTGCAATCATTTCCCCAGGTCCTGGGAGTGATACAGTTTGAAAAAATATTTTCAGAAAGGTTTACCATTCACATTGGTTCCCTCACTCTTGGACTATCAGCCATTACACCGGAGGTCACTGTTGCTGGTGTCCTACTAGAATGGGGCACAAAGAGAAATGCTCTATCTCTTGGGAATTTCAGAGATAAATGGCACCAAAGATAGACATGAAAGATTGTTACAACCCTATTCATTTCTCTAAAAGGAACAACATAAAAGGCTGCCGAGAGTGGCCATGATATATTATCATGTCAATCCAGTGGTGATCCTTCGGCAGCTGTTGTTCTAAATTCATCTCATTACCCTGGTCCTGGGTAAGCAGCTACTTAGGGAGTGTCATTACATGGCCCCATCTAACTGCAGAAGAAGCAGGCAAATACAGTGTAGCCGCCCCCCATGTAACCAGCTCCCATTGTGCTACAATGATGGGGGGAGAATGGATTTCTGTAAGCAGCCCTCCATCATGACTCCTGGAACACATTCCACTTGGATTGAAAGAGCATCTTGTGATAGGACCATTCTACAGAACTGACTTCCTCCATGGAGCACTTACTATTTCCTATGTAGAACCATAGAGATGTTCTCAGTTCTCAGTTCTGCAGTTATGTGCAAAATTTTACGCAGGACATTGTTTCATGCTCTGAAGCTATCAGCAATTTGAAGAACACAAATGTAGTTACGAGTGTTGAACCACATCAAAACTGGAAGCTGGAAAAAGTACTCTTTAGAAAATTTCAAATTATTCTATTCCATTGGTCTACATCTGTCTTTAAGTCAGTATCACACTATTTTGATAACTGTAGCTTTTGAAATCAGGAAGTAGGAGACCTCTAACTTTGTCTTTTTTTCAAGAATGTTTTGGCTATTCAGGGTCCCTTGAGATTCCATATGAATTTTAGGATGGCTCTTTCCTATTTCTGCTATATATATATATCTCATGGGCATTTGGTAGGGATTGAATTGAATCCGTAGATCATTTGGGAATCATATTGACATCTTAACAACACTGAATCTTCAATCCATGAACATAGGATATCATTCCATTTATCGGTGTTGTCTTGAATTTCTTCCAGCAACATTTTATAGTTTCCAGTGTTCAGATCTTTCACCTCCTTGGTTAAATTTATTCCTAAGTATTGTATTCTTTTTGGTGCTATTGTAGATGGGTTTGTTTTCCTAATTTTTTTTCAGATTGTTCATCGTTAGCATAGAGAAATGCAACTGAATTTTGTGTGTTGATTTTGTATCCTGCTACTTTGCTGATTTTATTAATTAGTTCCAACCGTGTGTGTGTGTGTGTGTGTGTGTGATCTTTAGGGTTTTCTACGTATAAGATCATGTTGTCTGTGAACAGAGATAATTTTACTTCTTTTCCAATTTGGATACCTTTTACTTCTTTTTTCTTACCTAATTGTTCTGGCTAGGACTTCCAGCACTATGTTGAATATAGAAGTGGTGAGAATGGGCATCTTTGGGTGCCTGGGTGGCTCAGTTGGTTAAGCGACTGCCTTCGGCTCAGGTCATGATCCTGGAGTCCCGGGATCGAGTCCCGCATCGGGCTCCCTGCTCAGCAGGGAGTCTGCTTCTCCCTCTGATCCTCCTCCCTCTCATGCTCTCTGTCTCTCATTCTCTCTCTCTCAAATAAATAAATAAAATCTTAAAAAAAAAAAAAAAAAAAAGAATGGGCATCTTTGTCTTCTTCCTGATCTTAAAGGAAAGTTTTCAGGTGTTCATGGTTGTGTGTGATGTTAGCTGTGAAGTTCGAGAACTAACCCTAAGTTAAATATTTTCCTGCTAAATTTTAGGTTTAACTGTTGTTGTTCAGAATGAATACACATTCTGAGATCCTAGAACCAATGTTCATTTGAGACCCAGGTGCCCGTGGTGGATCTTTTAATATGTAGATTCTGATCTTCTTTTATTTTTGCATAGTTTTCTTTGATTGTATCGCAAATACTATTTTTCTTCCTTTGTCTTGTTATTCTTTTTCAGGGACACGCATTACAAATGTCATGTAAGTTGCTTTATTTCAATCACAGCCTCTATAATTCCTGTTATATTTTTATCTTGTTTTCATCCTCCTGGGCCTTTCTTAAATGCCCCTTCTTGAGTCTGCACTTAGAGCTACTGTCCCTTGGCCACATTTTAATTTAGTTTTCACTTCGGACACTTTATATTTTTTTTCTCCATTTCCAGCTCGTTCCATTTTTTCCCCATTTTTAAAAATTCATTTTAGTACTTTTTGAATTTCTAACTCAAGATGTTTTTCCTATCTCCAAACACTTATTTGAGGATATTTCACTCCCTTGCTTCATTTGCTTCTGGGGTGTGTGTGCGCGCGCGCACGCACAAAGACCGCCACCTTGTAGCATATCACACTCGGGGGTTGATGGTTTTTTAAGATTTGTAGCTCAAGGGCGCCCTCTGTCGTCCACATAATGAGAGGCTGTTTCTTTCCTGGGCGGCTTTTTACGGGGGAGGAGGGGCGCTCAATGGCGGGAAGGTTTGTGGTTTCTTCTCTTTGGGGGCTTCTATTTTATTTCATAGTGTCCTAAAGTGTGCCCTTCCTTTCCCTTATCACCAACCAGCCTCCAAAGGATTTCTCCCTTCTGTTTGCCCTCGTCTCCTACAAAAGCATCCCCATCAGCCACCTCAGGTCTCTGTACTTCCAAGTTCTTTCTCTGATCCCCACCAGGACGCCTTTCCCCTTAGGGTGGAATTTCTCCTCTAGGGATGACTGTAGCCATCGCTTTGCCTTTCCCAGAATATCATATAGTTGGAACCATACGGTATGTAGCTTTTTAGGAATGGTTTTGTTCACTTAGCGATATGTATTTAAGGTTCCCCAATGGTTTTTATGTGGCTCGTGATAGTTCCTTTCATTTTATCCCTGAATAATATCCCATTGTCTGGATGTACTGGTTTATTTATCCACTGACCTATGGAAGGACATCTTGGTTGCTCCCAGATTTTGGCAGTTATGAATAAAGCTGCTGTAAACCTCTGTGTGCAAGTTTTTGTGTGGACATGAGTTTTCAGTTTTTTGTTTGTTTTTTGTTTTTTAAAGAGAGAATAGGTCTGATGGCTTATTTTTTCTTTTCTTTTTTTTTTTACATTTTTATTTCTTTGTCACAGAGAGAGAGAGAGAGCACAAACAGGGGGAGCGGCAGGCAGAGGGAGAATCAGGCTCCCCACTGAGCAAAGAGCCTAGTTCAGGACTCAATCCCAGGACCCTGGACTCAATCCCAGGACCCCGGCATCATGACCTGAGCTGAAGGCAGATGCTTAACCACCTGAGCTGCCCAGGCACCCCTGGACATG